TTGGCGGCACAGGCCCTGCCTGTGCACAGGGCTGTTGGTATGCTCGCTCCGATTCAAGGCCTCTTCAAGGCCTCGGGCCTCTCCCAGGCTGTGTGCTCCCTGCAGCTCCAGGGCTTCGGCCAATGGCTGAGAAACCTTGAGTTTTCCCAAGGGCTGGCAAGGACCGCCCATGCTGCCTAATCCATCCATCCTCCTGCCTCTTGTCAGCTCAGCCAAGAAGGGGGGTCACACAGGGGTCAGTCTGTCATCCCCTCATCTCCATGACAACCAGCCCAGCCAGCCAGTCAGCAGAGGACTCTCCATGCTGAGAGGGTACCGGGTGAGATGCCTGAACCCCAAATCTCTTCCTATCCCAGGTGGGTGATGTCCCTTGGGAGTCCTACCCATACGCTTCCCATTTCCAGGGCCCTTACCATCCTTCAAGATGGTCTCCCGCTCAGTGCCATCAATCTTCTGGCGGCCAATGAGGTAGCTGGTGGTATCAGCAAAGTAGATGAAGCCGGTCTCAGCGTGGAAGTCCAGGGCCCGGGGGTTCATGAGGTTCTCGATGGGGATCATGTGCTCGTCTGGGACCTTGGCCCCCATATCCATGCCCCGGATGATGCCTGGCCGGCCCTTGCCATACACAAGGAACAGCTCGTGTTCCGGCTCTAGGGCAGGCACAAAGGCACAAATTCAGACACACCCACGCGCGTGCGCGCACACACACACACACACACACACACAACTGCTGCCCAGCTTGGGAGGCCGTGGCCAAAGGGGCTACAATGTCCCCGCTATACTGGGTCAGCAGAGGTTCTGAGTCACAGGGACAGACACATAAACACATCAGGCCTGGAGGACAATGCGCTGAGGGCTTTACCTGTCCCTTGCGGTGGGAAACGGGGCAAGTGCAGTAAGTAGCACGTTTTCAGTGAAGTGCACTGCTCTGTAGTAAAATTAGTGGTCCAAAGGAGCACATTCAAAATCTGTTGGAATCTGATCAATTTTCACCACTTCCTCTCCTACCATCCCAATCTCAGCCACATCACTTTTTGCCTATACCACAGAAATAGCCTTCTACCACTTCCCTACTGCCGTCCTCCACCCAGCAGCCAGCGTGATGTCTTTACAAATGTGAATCAAATAATGTCACTTTTCTGCCTGGAAACCGCCAAGATCACACTGGCCTCAGCACTTTGGCACTGCTGACTGTCTCAGCCAGAAATGCTTCCTTCAGGTAGCTCCTCCCCTCACGTCACAGATGGCTCGGCTCAAATTTCATCTCTGCAGAGAAGTCTACCCTGACCGCTCTATCTAAAGGAGCTCTCCTGTCATTGCTAACTCGGTTCTCCATTTACTTTCTTCTAAACACCACCACCACCTGAAGTTTTATATATATATATATATATATATATATTTTTTTTTTTTTTTGGTCTGTCTCCCCTGCCAGACTGTACTCCCCTGGAGGACACAGATGGCATCTACCTGTTCACTGCTGAATTCTTATTTTAGGACAGTGCCAAACACACAGTACAGGCTCACTACTTACTTGTGGAAAGAAGGAAGGGAAGGAAGGAAGGGAGGGAGGGAGGAAGGGGCCAGTTTACAGTCCTCTATGGAGCTGGACTGGGATAGTGGGAAAAGCCTTGTTTTCAGATGTGAGTTCGAATTCTATGACCTCCCCTTACTAGTGGTGAAACTTTGGGTAAGTTCCTTCATCTCTGCATCTCAGACAGAAGTGGTAGGGCTGTGGGGAGGTGGGTAAGGGCACCTGCCCACCCCACCCCAGCAGGCATGCACGCCCTGCCCTTCACTCACTCTTGCATGACTTCCCATCACTGCCCAGGCTGAAGCCGGAGCGGCAGCGGCAGGTCCTCGCCTTGTGGCTGTTGGCCAGCAGGCAGATATCGGAGCAGCCACCCGGCTTCCCGTACTGGTCATTCTCGCAGGCGTGGCTCCTCACTAGAGGCAAGGTGGAGAGCTGGTCAGAGCCCCTCAGAGCCTCTGTGCCTCGGCCCTGAGAAGCCTTCCTGAAGTCTGCCCACATTCCCTCCTGCTGTTGTCTCTGCCCACTGTGCCGTTTGAGGATTTAGAAGCCACGGGACAAGAACTCCTCTGCCCACCACAACCTAGCCATGCAGGTGGGGGCTGCTGCCGCCTTGGAGAGTCACACAGTTGCCCATGCCAGGTGCTTCTCCTCTAAACCAGCCAGGGGAGGGACTGTCCTTAGCAGAAAGGGGAAGGGGCTCCCTGGGGTGGCTCTGGAGGCTGAGGGGCCAGGGGACATATAGTCTGAGGTTATTCGGAGAAGCAGTCATGATATGAGAGCATCAGGGGTTCTCACAGGAAGGCCCCTGGAAGGGCCCTGGAGCACTGCTCACCTCGGGGCTGACGCCGCTGGTGGTAGATGTGGAGGGCACCACCCTTGTCCACACGGGTGACGACCTGGTAGTCAGTGCTGTTGAAGCGGTTCACGCGGATCACACTTGTCTTCTGCTGGGCATTAGCATTGTCCGAGTTGGTGGCGTAGAGATAATTCTCAAACACGGTCAGGCCATACAGATGCTCAATCTGAGATGGGCAGGCAGGAATGGTCAACACAAGGGAAAGGATCCTCCCTTTGCCTCCGGAGAGCCCCTCAGCTTCCCATCCAAACTCCATTATTTGCATTCCTAGATTCATCCCAGTTTTATGCCTCTGTGCTCTCCTCCTGCTCTGGCTGGACTATCCTGTTCTTGAGATCTTTGCTTATCAAAATCCCACTCGTCTTTCACAGAGCATCTCTTTGAAGAGCTTCGGGAATCTTCTATTTTTTTTATTCCTCACCAGGGGATATTTTTCTATTTATCATTAGATGGAGTGGGAGGGAGGGAGAGAAAAAGAGACAGAGAGAAACATCGATGTGATAGAGGTACGTGCCCTTGACTGGAATGGAACCCATGACTCATTGGTCTGCAGGCCAACGCTCTAACCGCTGAGCAAACTGGCCAGGGCTGGACTCTTCTAATCAGAGATGGTCTCTCCTTCCACACTCCATGTCTCTGGCTATTTCGCACTATCTGGTGATTTGCGGACTTACTCACCTAGTCTGCTTAAATCCCGTGAGGGCAGGGACCACATACCCCACAGAATCAGGCACACAGTAGAGGATGGCATGATTATGGATTAAATTGGAATTGGGACCTAAACTCTGTCCAGAGAGAACATTCTTTGTGTTGTTTTTTTTTTGGTTAATCCTCACCTGAGGATATTTTTTCCATTAATTTTTTAGAAAGAGAGTTGAAGGGAGAAGAGAAAAACATTGATGGGAGAGAGACACATTGATTGGTTGCCTCCCACATCTGCCCCGACCAGGGCCAGAGATGAAACCTGCAACCCAGGGACATGCTCTTGACCGAGAATCGAACCCACAACCCTTGGGTGCTCAGGCTGATGCTCTAACCATTGAGCACACTGGCCAGGGCCACCGAGAACATTCTTATCCCAACTCCAGCCTCCAGCTTTGGGAGGGTTGTGAGGACAGACTGGCCCCAAGCAAGCCCTTTAACAGCCCCTGCTGCCCACATAACTTATCTAAGGTAACCAACGGTCCCAGTTTGCCTAAGACTAGTTTCCTGGTTGTGGGACGTTCTGGGCTAACACCAGGACAGTCCCAGGCAAACCGAGATGGCTGGCCACCCTAATTAGCCCAGAATGGAGAGCCCCCTCTGAGCTGGCAGGGCTTCTAGGCTCAGTTCCCAGCTGTGTAACCCCAGGCAAACCCCTTAACCTCTTGAACCTGCTATTTTCTCCTGCCAAAAAGGAACTGAGTCACCTATGTGCTTCTCTCTCCAGGGGTTGCTGTAAAGATCAAATTAGAAAAAAAGAGTAAAATGTATCTCTAAAATTACTGTTCCATCAGAGCTGAAGTCATATCCTGTCCTTCTCCAAAGTGCGCATGACCACCTTGCCCCCCAGAGGGCCCTCCCCCAGCGGTTCCCCTGCGAAGGTTTCCCCCTCACCAGGATGCCCTGGATGATGGTCTGCCGGCTCTTGCCCTCGTAGTCCACCACCTCAATGTAGTCCAGGTAGGCGTCAGCCCAGTAGACAAGGCGGCTGACCAGGTCCAGCGTGATGCCGTGAGGAAACACAATCTTGCTATCGACCAGCTTGGTGCGGTTCTGCCCATCCATGTCACAGCGCTCCACCTTTGGGATCTGCCCGTAGTCGGTGAAAAACACTTTCCTGTGGGCAGACGGCACATTACAAGGGTCCTGGACATTGGGCACTGTAGCCTCTGTCTCCTGGGCAGCACCCTGCCTGCCCCTCTTACCCCATGGTAGGGTCCAGTGCAATGCCCTTGGGGTTGTAGAGCTCTAGGTCTAGCAAAGTGACACATGTGTCTCCATTTCGGTTGCAGACAAAGATCCGGTCATCGATGTCATCCACAAAGTAGAAGTTGCCCGTCAGCCAGTCAATGGCCATCTGCTCCACATCTGGAGGAATGCGAATGAGAGCTGTGGGGGGAGGGCCCCCCACAGACATGCCCACCCTTTGCTGGTGCAGAGCCCACTGCTGGACGTCCACGTCCTCCAGGGCACTCTCCTTCACGACCCGGCCACAGCCGTCTCCTCCCTGAGCTCTTCTGGGAGTTACCAGCAGTGGCATATTTTGCCTTGTGATCTTTGCCCTCTTTCCACCTAGCTGGTCCCTCCAAGAAGCAGTCAGTCTTTGAGTATCTTCCCACACAGCCCCACTCCCCATGCCGAGGCAGGGCAGGCACGCAGGGGGCACTGGGTAAGTGTGGGTTGGTACAAGCTTCCCGAACTCCAGCCCCTCCTTGAAGCCCATCTTCTTGGAGTCCCCAAAAACAGTGAAGACAGGTTCACTAGCTCACTTTAGTTGTTTTTGAAAAATCTGCCTGTACTAGAGATAAGGGCACTCCGGCTAATGAAAACATCGCGCATCTTTTTGGCTGGACTTCCATATACAGTAAGTTGAGTTACCCCATGCCAGCCAGAGCACTGACTGGAAGCTGTTACATGCTGCACGACCACACCCCCCATCATGCACTCCCACAAATTGTGCTGTCGAGTTTCTCACATTTGGAGAAATCGCAAGAGTCAGCACATCCGGAGTGCAATGGATAAGCCTCGCCCTGGGAAGACCACCTTGGTGATCATGGTATCTCCCCTGCCAGGTAGATATGTTGTTGCATGACTTTTAAAAATCGAAAAGCTGCCCTGACCCATTGGGCTTAGCGGTTGGAGCGTCAGCCCGAGGACCGAAGGGTCACAGGTTCTGCTCCTGGTCAGGAGTACGTGCCTGGTGGTGGGTTCAATCCCAGGCCCAGTCAGGTTCTTGTTGGAGGCAGCCAATCAATGTGTCTCTCTTACATCAACGTTTCTCTTTCTCCCCCTCCGTCCCTCACTTCCACTCTATCTAAAAATCAATGGAAGGGTATCCTCAGGTGAGGATTTTTAAAAAAAAGGTAAAGCAGGGCACTTATCAGTAGGCCCAGTCTGAGAGAAAAGAAGGCCAAATATGGGGCCCATGTGGATGGACAGGGAAGGCTCATGGTGGCCATAAGAGGCTGGAGCCAGTGCAGAGACCAAACTTCCTCTATTCACCCCTATTTCTGTTTCTTCAGAGTCCCTACTGCTCGATTTCCTTTTGTTAGGGAGGCTGGAGGAGAGCGTGCAGAGGAGGGCCATCCAAGGACTCTGAGGACACACCGAGGCTGAGCAAGAGGGAGGTTCAGAAGGGTGGGTGCGGGGAGAGGACGGAGGTCAGTTGCCACACCCAGTCTTTGCCATGGGTCTGGAGAACACACAAGAAGCCAAAAAGGCTGGAGAGTAAGGGTGGGATGAGGGCAGCTGGAAGTCTAAGAGGCAGGAAGCCTGGGGACAGGGACCCCTGTTGACCTCCTATGGGCCCCTCCTCTCCAGGATCCTCTGGGTCTGGTCCACCCACTGTCTTCTCCAACTACCACGCTCAGAAGTGATACCTCTTGCAAACTGGTAAATTTTCAAGACAGTGACTCCCTGGGACCCCGGCTTGCACTCCACCTCCACCAATTTCCCCAACAGGGAAAAAAGTCTCTGGGTGACCTGCCTTTGGGTGGAGCTTACCCCCATTACTTACGTGTTCGACCCAGTGGGGGCTACTCTCCCCACAGAGCCATAGGTGTGATGACTGGGCGTTCAGCTCAGCCCCTCCCATCCTTCCCCTAGGGTCTGTTTCCCAACAGGGTGGGGGTGGGGGGCAAAGGGAACAGGAACATGGCTCCCAAGGAACTTGGCCGGGCCCTAACCCTGACTCACAGTCACAGGACTCAGGCTGGGGGAGGGGAAGGGTAGAAAGGAGAGAGCCAATTTGAGGCTTTCATCAAACTAGTTTCCTCTTCAGGTCCCCCTGTTGAAACCCACTCCGAGGTGACTGGAGAAGGTCACATGGATGAGTTATCTTTGTAAGTGCTGATGCCACAGTCTCTTCTGGGCCCTGGTACTGACATGAGCGGAAAGAGGGATACAGCAGCCTGAAGATGTGGGTCCCAGCCGAGTAGAAAGAGGGCCCAGTGCAGGGGTGAGGTGAGCGAAATGCCCCACACACTGTTACCACAGAGAAATCAGATTAAAATGAACGCTGCTGGGCCGCCTCCAGACGAAGCCAAAGTCCCAAAGTCCCAAAGGGGGGGACCTGCCCACAGCCAGGCAGCCAGCAGGGTGGCCGAAAGGCAAACAGGGCTGTGTGCCCTTTCCTTGGTGGGCACGGTGGGGGTTGGAGGCTGCTGGCACGTAGACAAACTTCATCATTCGAGCTGTTTTCCCAGCACCAGCTGGTGCAGCTGTGTCCTTCTATCTAACTTCCTGAGGCTTCCCTGAGTCACTGCCCTGCTCCCCACCGCCCTTCCTCAGCAAGAGGGGAACAGGAAGAAACCTGAAGGGATCTAATGCCGCATCCAGGTGCAGCTCTGCAATCATTCCCCCGGCCCTGAGCCTCAGGATGTGGCGGACCTTTGGGCTTCCCTCCTGGCCTGCCTTCCCTCCCAGCTCCAGGAAGGTGGGCAAGGGACCATCCTGCTCTCAGATATTTACCCTTGGCCAGTCTCCCCTTCCACCTCCCAAAGGCCAGGCAGGGCCCCACTCAGCAGGCCGGTGAGGAGCTGGCAAGAACTGGAGTCCTCAGCCTGGTTTGGCCTCTCCTTTGGTATTTTTGCAGCTGGAGACTATTAGTTGCAAGCAAAAATCCTTTGTTATCCAACCCCCCTCCACCACATTATTTTCCTCTCCTCTAAGTCCAGATTCCTCTGCCTGCCCCACCACACATATGCACACATTCGCACACACACACGCTCGGCCACTCACAGCACTCCAAGGCCAGTGTGGAGATGGCTCCGATGGGGAGAGCACCTTATTTCCAGGGCTCCCCATAGGCAGTGTCTGAGCCACTTCCCTTTGTCTGCGGCATGGGGGGCAAGCAGAGTCCTGAGGTTGGGCCTGGAGGACCTGAGTTTTCTGGCCCCACAAACCCAGAAAGCAGCTGTCTCTTCGTGGTCCAGCCTTCTCAGGGCTGACCCACCCCAGCACACCCTCCATAGGGGCTCTGGACAAAGGCCCCACATCCTGAGGACAGGAGAGTCTCAGGTAAACCCAAGTGGAGCGAGGCTGTGTTGTGGGAGGAGTTTGGAGGTGGTCTGGAGTCCTAGGAGTTAGGGATTCCAGGGCAGTTAGGAAGTTGGGAGGGAGACGAGACCATCAGAGGACAGACCGCAGCCTGCCTGTGATGTTGCAAAGGACTTTCAGTTCCAGGCCCCAGAATAGACCTGGGGTGTGTGTTTGTAAGTGCTAAGCCCTCCCTGTACCCCGATTCTAATGCTCAGCACTCTGCACTCCCCACAACTCCAGTTTTTCTCAACTTCTCAGTCATTCACAATGTTCAAGAGGCATTTCCCTAAATACAACAGGCCTCACCCCATTCCCAAGAAGACCCCAGTTTTAGCTGTAGGATTCCAGTCACTCTCCCTAAAATAAATCCAAGGATGGATGGGGACTCTGTGCCCTGAAGAAATAAACACCCACACACCCAAATACTGTAGGATAGGGTACGAGGACCCTGGGTGAGGAAGAATCCCGTTAACCGTCACCATAACCTCAGGGAACACATGCATCTGGCCTCGATTTCAGGAAACTCCCCACCTTGCTCATCACTCTGCTCTGCCCTGGGCACAGCCAGGGTTTGAATCATCATCCTGTCTCCTTCTGTGGGGCTATGGGCAAGAGGCTTAATGTCTCTGAATCTCAGTTTGCTCATCTGTAAAAATGGGATGGTGCATTCACAGCACATAGCACAGGGCCCGGCAGACAGTAAACAAACCACAATGGGAACTGGGATCTGCACTGCAGTTCTCCTTCACCTCCACCCTTTCCGTCCCTACCTTCTCCACCAAGTTACCATCTGTGCCTGCAGCCAGAGCCCTGTGACCTCCTGACTAGAGGTAGACCCTCCAGGTGGGCGGTTTATAGGCTCTCATAGCCCCAGTAGTTCCTTTGATCACAGCCTATTTACCTGACCACAAATATTGAGAAGCCAGGGCAGTTTTTCATCTGTCCCCAGCTCCCTTCACACACGTACTGGTTCATTCAACAAATATTTGTTGAGTACTGAGTCCTCACTTGGTTGTCCTAGAGTCAGGACATCACTTTTTCCCTTCCCTTTACTGCCAGAATCCTCCTTCTCTGGCTGGTGGATGCCTAAGACAGTGGGAGAAGACATCTGTCTGGTAATCCTCCTGCTTGAGAGGGTGGGGGAGGGATGGGGAGATGATCAAGAGTCTGGGGCTTGGCAGAAGCATTGCTAAATGGCATGTCCTCACGATCCTGTTTCCTGCCAGGTCCTGACTTCAGCTCTCCTTGTTCCACCAGCAAGTCTGGGGCTCAGCCACAGTGTCACCTCTATCCTCAGGGCTCCCTCCCTGCTCGGAACCCCCTGGGGGGTATGCCCTGCTTCCTTCCCCTGCCAGGCCCAGGTCCACAAAGTATTCAGTCCTGGGTCCCAGGATGAGACGCCTGAAGTCTGCAGCTCTGACTGAGAATCAGAACCAGGGTTTCCTGCCGCTGAGAAATCCTTCCTGGGCTCTACAACACATCTCTCTTGCTTAAGTTCCTTCCTTTGGCTTGAAAATAGTAGGAAGGAGGGTGTTGGGGGCAGGCTGGGTGGAGAGGCAACTTCAAGGAGACAGCAGGGTGGGAGGGGGAGACAGGGCTGGAGCTGTGCCAGAGACACTGGGCTGCCCTGGCCTGGGAGAGGAGAGGAGGCTGTTAAATTAGAAAGTTCGGAATGGGAAAGGGAAGCAAAAGCACCAGGCCAGAGAGTGGGGGGACCAGAGCCCCTCAATATTCTGACAACGTGTGGTAAGAAAGGCCGAGGAAGGGGGTAGCTGGCTTTCACATGCAGAGTGCAGAAGTGTTCCGCAGGTATGGGGTGCGAGGCTGCGAGGGCTTGGAGTGCCCAGTTCAGTGGGAAGACGGTCCCCTTCCAGCTGGAGAAGCCAGTTGACCAGGGGCTCGGAGAGGCTGCTCTCTGCCCTCTCTCTGCCTTCCCGCTAAACAAATCACTACCCCATTTCCTGTTGTGATTTTAAATGGGAACACACACACACACACACACACACACACACACACACACACACCACTCACACACACCCCAGAGGGAGGGAAAGAAAAAGTGAAGCTGGCCAGCTGGAACTGAGAACCCATTCCACAAACAGCTGCCTGCAGCCTAGGGGGCCTTTTCTGGGCCTCCCCGCCTACCTCCTTCTTCCACATGCAGAAGGGGAGGCAGCTTGGGACCCCTCAGGGCCCTCCAGAGCATCCCCTCATACACAGTCCAAACTAAGTGAGTTCAGCAAACCTTATTTCCTTCAAAGCCGCTAATTGTAACCTTAGAACCTGCCCAGCAGCAATCCTGCAGGGGGCTAGACAGGGCCCAAGTTCCCCCAAGAGGGTAGTCAGAGGTGGGGGGTAAGGTGGGCAGATCAAGTTCTGGTACTTCCAAGCCTGTTGACCCCTCTGGGCCTCAGTTACCAGAACTTCAGTCTTTTGTGTATCACTTTCAAAATATTCCCCATGTTTATCTACAGTTGTACTATTATTTACCTACTATTTCTTTAAATCAACTCACTTATTTTGCTGCAACCTAAACAATCT